CTTCCTCCAAGAAGACCAGCATACTTATCCCTTCCTTCCACTTAGTAACTGACCCTTTGCTGAGAAAAAGAGGCCGTGTGGCCTGGGCTGATCTGCGTTATGTATTATGAGGTATAATCCCAAGAAACGCTCTTTAAATATGCTTGGCTTTTCTTTTGCTTTTTGTTTTCATTTTTTTGTTGGTTAGTTGGTTGCTGTTTAAGTTACATGTGGGTATTTTTACTGGTCCCGTCAAAATAAAACTTTAGAATCTAGAGGCAACTGAGTTGTTTCCAGGCACAATTCAAGATGCTGGTTAGGGTTATTTAACACAAGAGGACAAATCTTCATGTGGATGAGCAAGTGGTTTAGCATGAGAAAGCAGAGGGAAGGAACAAACTGGGCACTTCTCAGAATGAAGGAAAATAAGTAGTGGGTACTGTACTAGGAATGGACCTGTACTCGGAATGTAATAAATTAATCTGTTCGTAAATGAGCTGGAGTCAGTAGTTAGCAATAAAGGCACCAACAGCACCATCCTAAGCAGAGTTGCCCCCCTTCTAAGATAGTTTACTTCAGTGGACTGAGAAGGGTATAACTCTGATTAGAACTGCACTGCAGGTGTGTAGATGGAGTCCAGTAACTCAGGATTGCAAAATGCAGAGCAGACTGCTAAGATGTCAGCTACGCTGCCATGGGGGTTGGGGAGCTCAGTCTGTGTCTGGTTAATTGCTAATGCATTCCTTTCTGTGCTTGTTCTGCTTTGCGCCGAAATGCTTATCTATACAGATGTGCAGGAGGGAGATGTATTGTCTGGGTTTTTCCTAGGTGCCGTGGGAGAGTGTTGGTTGTCAGCTTTAGCTACCTAATGGTCTCCAAGCTTTATCCCGCGTGTGGAAGGGTGCCTAATTGGCCAGTGCTGTGGGGGAGGGGTGCATATGAATAGCCTATATCCTATTGTGCCCATGGGGCTGCCGCCATTCTTAACAGTGCTTATGTTACTGCATCTATAGCTCTGCAATAAAAGTATTACCGTTCTTGAATGCTTGTACTTCGTTGTTGGCTGTGGGTTCTGACATAAGATCTGCAAAAGGGTCTTTCCAAACTGGTTAATTCAGCAACATTCTGGCAAATGAAGTTCAATGTAAGTAAAGCAGTGCACATTTGGGACAGAAAAATCATAACTCTGTATATGTACACTGATGGGATTTAAACTGGCAGTGACTAGCTAGAAAAGAAGATTTGAGGATCGTTGTGGATAGCTCAGTGAAAATGCTCTGTGTGCAACAACACAAATTCCATGTTACAGTTGATTAGGAAAGGGATTGACAATAAAATGGCCTTTCTCATAAGGCTATATTGCTATATATTTGTGGCAATGCCACATTTGGAATATTAGTCACCCTCCAGCATCTCAGAAAGGATGTTATGGATCTGGAAAAGGTGCAGAAAAAAACAATAGAATGATTGAGGAAGGTTAAAGTGTTTTTTCCATACAAGGAAATGTCTAAAGACTTGGGGGCTTTTCAGTTTAGAAAAAACAAACAACTGGAGCTGCATAATAGAGTTTCATAAAATTAATTCCACTTTCCTTAAAAGCTCGAGCCAGTTGCAACCAGATTAAAATATGCAGAGTAAGTATATTTTTAGGTCTGTCAACTAATTAAATGATTTTAGTTGATTAATCAGCTGCCTTTTAACCAATATACTGATTAAGTAATCAGCTGAATTTCAATGCATTTTCTTATTTCCCTGATCCTCTGTGCAAGAGTCCTTCGAACTATTGAAGGCAACATAAAAGAGTTCATAATTTCATAAATGTGAATTAGCATTCATTATTAGATGGAGAGCCATCTTTAACATTTTATTTTTTATTACATGTTCTATCAAGAGAACAGAATCAACATAAAGTAACAGACTAAAGTGGGGTCCTTACCTTTATTCATTTATCTATAGCCCACCTTACAGCTTCAAGGTGGATTGCCAAATATAAAACCATGCAGCCAGATAGCATAAGACATCTGGTAGATAATGCAAATAGGGTTAGGGTGACAAAAATAGAAAACAATGCAAACAAAAACAGTATAAGATAAGATATATACCATAAAAGTGCAGAAAATGGAATTACAAAAGTAGAAGGCAAGGGAATAGACTACAAAAGAGTGGAGTAGACCACAATTAAATTTCCTTTAAAAGAGCACCTTACTGAACCTCAACTTTGGTGAGTAAAATTGTCCTTCGCTGAGTAAAATCATACCACAATCCCACTGTGAATTACAATGCAATCTAATACAGAGTAATATCGCACTGCTATCCACTGTGAATTACAATGCAATCTAATACAGAGTTATTACAGTCCCATTGCAGTGGGTTGAGACAGGAGGAACACTGCAAAGGGATGCAATCCTAAACAGAGTTACGCTGTTCTAAGATCATTAATGTCAATGGACTTAGAAGGATGTAACTCTGTTTGGGACCACACTGTCAGTCAACCAAAGTTGTGGTATATGAGCCTGTTGCCCAGAAGGCCTGCTTACTCCCAAAGAAATATGCATAGGTCGTAGCCTCACAGCCTAATCTTAGGCATATTTACATAGAAGTAAATCCCACTGAGTTCCAGGATTTATTCCCAAATAAACAAGCATAGACTTGCAGCCTTAGTTGGCTAATCTACTAGTTAAACTAGTTAAAGCTTGCAGTCTTAATAATTTGGTAAATCCACTTAGTTTTGCAGAATGCATTTCAGTTCCCCTGCTTCAGGTGCTTCTTGGTCTGAGATAAGCCCCAGGCTTATGTTAAGAAGTATTGCCATTTATCGGCATCCCCAGGCCACCGACGTAAGTGGTGGCAGAAGTAGCAGGTTGCTGATTATGACAAAAGGCCAGTTAGAATGTCTACTCCCTTCTGAAAGGTGCACACACAAGCAATGGGGTTTGCCTTGCAAGTAAGCATCAGCTTTTATCAAATCGCAGACATTTCACCAACCCCTGAGCCTGGTCAGCCAGTAAGCCAATGGGTATTCTGGAGAGGTGGCACAGAAATTTTCTAAATGATAATAAATAAATAAATTAGACTGAGATTGGGAAGAATATATAAAACTGTCAGCAACTGTTGCTGGTACTATGATGAGAGAGAGCTAGTGGGGTGTAGTGGTTCCCAAGGGTCAGACTTATGGGTTCAAATCTCCACTTGTGCCATGGAAGCCTACAGGGTGACCTTGGGCCAGTCATGTTCCTCTCAGTTTAACTTACCTCACAGGGTTGTTGTGAGGGTGAAATGGAGGAGAGAAGAATGATATAAGCTGCTTTGGGTCCCCATTGATGAGAAACGTGGGGCACAAATCAAATAAATAACCCCCCCCCCAATGGATTTCATACATAGACGGGAGAAGGGCATTATATTTCAGTAGTTTAGTATTGGTGAAATATTGGAAGATGGCAGCAATAATGCTCTCCGGAGAAATCATGTACAGTATCAAAATCTTGCCAGAATTATTTTTATTAAACAATGTAGCTTTTATTCCAAAGAAATATAGGGTGGTTACATTATACATCATTATGACTGCCAAATGGAAGCTGACTAAAATGTGGAAATTGAAGAAAATACTGACAAGGAGAACTTTTGTAGACACGATTAAAGACTATGTGCTTGAAAGGCTTATGGAGCTTCAAAAAAGACGAAGATGTACAGGACATCCATCAAATGTAGCAAGAAGTTTAGTCCTGTAGGGAACAGACAAGATACAATATGTAAAAATGCCCATCTTATATAGACAGTTCAAAGGGGCAAGATATGTTGCATGGAAAGAGAGGAAAGATACAATAAGTGATGTGCTTGTTTTGTTTATTTGTTCATTCTTATGTATGTATAGCTGGAAGAAAAATAAGTAAAATTAAAAACTTTTAAAAATGAGGCTAGAATGTTGCGCTTGGACTAAGGTATGGCTGCCAACTCTGGGTTGGGGAAATTCCTGGAGATTTGGGATTGGAGCCTTGGGAGGATAAGGTTCTGGGGAGGAGAGGAACCTCAACAGACTATAATGCCATAGAGCCCGCCCTCCAAATGAGCCATTTTCTCGATGGTAACTGATTTCTGTAGTCTGGAGATCAGTTGTAATTCCGGGAGTTCCCCAGGCCCCACCTGGAGGTTGGCAGCTGCAGAATAAGGAGATGGTTCTTGCCCTGTTCATCTATGAAGTTCAGGGGATGGCCATGGCTCTCCTGCAGAATCGTGAAGATAAAATGGGAATAAACCTGTTAGGCTGCCTGCAGGAAGGGACAAGATATATGCGTGGTGAATAGCTTAAACAGACATGAAACTGTCTTATACAGAGTTAGACTCTTGGTCTCTCAGGGTCTACAGGTTGTCTGCTGTGACAGGGTCTCAGGTGGAGGTTCTTCATGTCAAGTGGAAATGCAGAGGAATGAAGCTGGGATTTTCTTTTTAAGATTTTATTTTTTATGAAGACAGACATCACACAGACAAAACACACGAATACATAAATGTGAGGGGTATAGTTACATCAACAGTTTTGTAATGCTAGTTTACATACTGAGACTTCTGGTTTTGGTGGGCTGATGGCGGCCGCATCCCCAGGGAGCTATTGGGGGGGCGATCCGCAGACCAGCACAATGAGAGGCGGTGCGATGGGTCCCTTGCCATGGGGCACTATCTTTGCTGGCACGCTGCCAGCAGATTGAGCCTTCTCTTTGCCCCAAAGGTCTCTGCGCTGTGTTCCCGAATGGGACTAAGCTACGCACACCGGGACAAGCGCTTGGAGGTACAGCATTGAAATCATTACCTGGCGAGATCCGAGTGATCAGACGTTGAAGAGTGAGGCCGTTAAAGCGAGAACACCAGAGAATGAGTGAGTCCATGGACCAGCACAATGAGAGGCGGTGCGAATGTCCCCCTGGGACTCTTGCGATGGGTCCCTTGCCATGGGGCGCTATCTTTGATGGCACGCTGCCAGCAGATTGAGGCTTCTCTTTGCCCCAAAGGTCTCTGCGCTGTGTTCCCGAATGGGACTAAGCTACGCACACCGGGACAAGCGCTTGGAGGTACAGCGTTGAAATGGTTACCTGGCGAAATCCGAGTGATCAGACGTTGAAGAGTGAGGCCGTTAAAACGAGAACACCAGAGAATGAGTGAGTCTCCTTTTACTAAAAGCGAGGGGGGGGAGACTCCCCCCCAGAAAGAACAAATAAGCGATTAAAGAAAAGCCTTTGTAGTGGGGACGGAGTTTTAAGTGGCAGTAGACTGTATTAGAGAGACTCCAGGAGCTAAATAAGCGTTTGGGCAAGTTTTCGGGACTTTGGCAAATTCTATAAATAGTAAACATGTTTAAAAATGGCAATCGGCGATGCAGTAGAAGCAGCAAGCGAGATCCAAGCTTTCTTCAGGAAGTGGAAAAGCAACTGGCTCATGTGACCAGAAGTAACCATAGATCTTTCAGGCTAGATGCTAAGCCTTTGCCCCCTGCTGGCAAAAATGAGGTACTTCACAAGAACTGTGCTATATATTGGCTGTTATTTTCAAGGGACTGTGTTAACACTGGAGAAGCAACTAGCCTTTGATCACAGGGACTTCCAATATTCAAGAGGAGAGTCTAATGAGTAGGTTCAAGTGGTGGGGCCTGTGCGCAGACGTTTAAGCGAAGGGGAATGCCATGGACATATCCGAAATAAGTCTGACGGACAAAAGGGCGGATAGACTCTCTGTAAGTTTTGCTTCCAAAAGCAACAAAAGGAATGATCTCTAAGATTGAAGGCAAGAATTCAAGCAGATAACAGTCCTTGAAAAAGAAAAGGGGACTTTGTTTTGAGATGTCCAGTTCCAGTCTCAGCAAGACAAGGTCACAGGGAAAGTGTTCAAGAAGAAAGAAGATTACAGCATGGGAAGAGAAACTGTCTGTGTTACAACTACTGAGGGAAATTTAATTATTGATTTGCTTTAAATGAAGGAGGGAAAAACAATTGTAAAATGAGATGCCACTGTTCTCTGAAATTTGTGTTTAAGTCAGTTAGCGATTATCCTGGAATGCTCTTTATATAGTCAGATTTGATGGTTTGTTAAGACAATTGATTAAGAAAAGCAATTTATATTGTTAAGCTAATACTTTTATAAGCAGTATATGACCTCCAACTCTTGGGTTTTAGTGGGTTTTCTTTCCTTTCTCCTATAGGTTGTAGATCCCCTCCCTAATTTCGTTGTAGTTTTTAGAAAATGCGAATTAAAAAATCCCCTACGGGGGCCATTAAAAAAAACAAAGAAACAATTTACATGCTTAGTTACTTCATACCATATTTGTTTTCCATGTTCCACTAAGCTGGGATTTTCCATGTACGAAGCATGTGCTCTGCTACTGAGCCACAGCCTTACTCCGCACATTGCCCATTCAGAGTTATAATAGGTGACCACCCAAGAAAGCTTTTGTCATTTGAAAGTGGGTGTCATCGGTACGTATCATGAATGATAAACATCTGGATGTCTTGGGAGGCAGGTAGAAATTTCTGAGGTAGGAAGTTCTGTGGATGGGGCTGATGTATGTGCAACCATGAAAGTTAAAAACAGGCATTTTTGTTCCCACAATGAAAGATGGGTTTCTCAGGATTCTACCAAGCTTCAGTACACATATGTATGTGCGAATGCCTCCCTTTGGGAATGATTGAAGTGGCCAACTGATGGCTGCATTGGGCTTTTGGAATGCACTGGCTCTTCCTTCTTCCCATCAGACACACTTTACATTGGGTAACGGTCTGACCTCTCTTTCTATTTGACAGATTGATGAACTCCCTGAGGGAGCAGTGAAGCCTCCAGCAAATAAATATCCTATCTTCTTTTTTGGGACTCATGAAACGTAAGTGAATGGACCATGGCATGTTCTTTAAAACACATACAAACTTCTTGCAGCTTTCACGCTGAGCTGAGGTTGAGCCGAAACTGACATGAGGTTGAAGTTCAGCACCAGGTTCTTGTTTTCCTAAAGGCCTCTGCTTCGGCAAGACTCCTAGGGTGGGCGTGGAGGTTCTTCTTGAGAAGAGTATGTGGGTGCATTAGCCAAAAATACTATGTTCAGCTTGGGAGCTCCTTGCTGGAATATTTATATTTCACATTTTTTAAATCCTACTCTTCTGGCAGGGAGCTCAGACTGGTGCAGAGTCTCTTGATTTAGGCTACAGCAGGCCCGCAATACTTGTGACCCACCCAGCCGAACGCCCCCCCCTTCTGTGCATTGCAGCCTGCCAGATGCTGAAGGGGCCCCTGGTTCTGTAGTCTTAAAATGGTCAGTCAGAACTGGGAGGTTGTTTGTCACACTCCTTTTAGGTTGCTTCGTACAACCGATGGTTTGCATGCAGTGTGGAAGATGGGGGGTTGTGCAGGCCTGGATTGGGGAGTGTTGTTTCAGTTGGTCTTTTATCAAAAGCTGGAGCATATCTGCTTTGTTTCTCAGCAGACCTCTTCTGAAATGACAAAGTATCATTCCAAGACCACTTAAAAATATATATATATCATAAACCTACCAAAGTGCTCAGAATCTATTGATCTTTCTCTAAGGAGCTGAGGGCAGCTTACCTTGTTCTCCCTGCCAGTATCTAATCCTCACAACGACTCTTTGAGGCAGGTTAGGCTGAGGAAAGTGACTGAGTGACCCAAGATTTCCCAGAACGCTTCAGGATAGACTGGGGATTGGAGTCTCCCAGGTCATGACCCAACATTCTGACCATTATACCACATTGCCTCTTTGTGGAAACCAGCTGGATTTCACTGACAAAGGATTAAGTGTGAGGACATGTGGTGGAACAGCCCCGCTCTGACCTGCAGGCCCTATTCCACAAGGCCCTCCAAGGTGCCTGAGCACCAATGGCTGCCTAAAGACTCCTTCTGGCATGTATCATCCACCTGGCTTTCCCAACATCTGGAGGGGCTTTTCTTTCCCTCTCTTGCTTCAACCACGGCCACCACCTGGCCTTTGCAGGAGTTGCCCACTGAGAGGACCAGGGCTCCCAACTTCCTCCCCCTCTCCTGAGGCCTGGACTTTCACGTCTCCTGCTATCCAGCATCTTGTTACCATAGGAACAGCTGGCTGCCTTGTGCACCACTGGGAGACTGGCCACTCGCCAACTGACTGCCTCTCCCCTTTTTCTGGTGCTTCTTTCTTAAATAGTGTGCCTGGAACAATAGAGGTCTAATGTGGTACAGAGAACTGCTACCAGCATTCAAAGTTTTAAAGCATTTATTAAAAAGAAAATGTCCACATGCACACTCTCAGCATAGTCACAAATTGAGCAAGGATTCCAAAAGAAAAGTGTAAAATGCAGTTTGTCTGTCCCTCCCTTGGTACATGCCCTAGTGGATGTTAATGTAAGGCAGGTTCTTTAGCTTAAAGGGTTACAAAGGAGTTCCTATTGCCTTGAAGCCTCTGCTCTGGTGTGCAGTCCTGCACGTGCAATGGCTGCCTCCAGCAGACCTAGATGTCACCTGCGTGTGTGTGTGTGTGTGTGTGTGTGAGAGAGAGAGAGAGAGAGAGAGACTTGACCATCTCATTGTAGCTTGCCAGTCCTTACCATTTGCATTTGTAAGGCTGTGGTGGGTGACCCTGGCAAGCAATTGACACCTCTGCACCCTGTGCTCTGCCAAGACAGAAAATTTTTCAAAACTCAAGGTGAAAATTATGCTCGACTCAAACCTCCAAAGAAAAATGAATTCCTCCACAGGAAGCATTCAAGAAAGCCATGTAGTAGAGGCCTTTTTGGACTGTATGACTTTTGGTTGAAAAGATGGGAGGGCATTTTGTATGTTCTGCTCCAAGCTGTACAGTCATTTAATAGCTATAATGAAAAGCATGTATGGAGGACATTTTCCTCCCCACTGAATTACCACAGTCAGCCAGCCCACATGTGATGAAGGGCTTCCAAAACTGCTGGGGGGATGGGTATCTATGATACATCTGCAGTTAAAATATTGTTTTAACTCTGCTTTTTGATGGCAAGCAATAAAATGACTGAAGTTTGTGGTTTCACCATATGAGGGCGCATTCAGACAAACCTTTAACTACAGAGGTATTATGTGTGTTCGAACCATAGAGAAAAAACAGCCTAGAGTTAAATCTCGGAAGTGAATTTCTTTATTTAAAAAACATGCTATTGCTAGACTTCTAATCTTTCTCTATATGGAAAACATCATTTAAAAAAAAATAACTGCAGTGAAGTGTAAAAGAGAACTCCTGTTTAACTGTGACCTTTGTTGAAAACACAGTGCATTCTTGGGGCCAAAAGACCTCTTCCCATACAAAGAATATAAAGACAAGTTTGGGAAATCGAACAAACGAAAAGGATTTAATGAAGGCCTGTGGGAAATAGAAAATAACCCTGGTGTCAAGTTTACTGGATACCAGGTAAGGATTGCTTTTCCTTTCTTCCCTGTGTCATTTATATCCCTTCCAAGGTTATATGACCAAAGTGCAAACAATTGGCCTGCCGCACCAGGAGATATCATCAGTTTGATACCTTGGAGGGTACCAGCATTAGCAGGAAGGATCTTGTGGCAACAGTATATCTGTTGTCCTGTGCCAAATCCTCAATGATGCTCAGCCGGGCTATTAAGAATCAGGATGCTTTGCGGGGTTCTCTGCTTTGGGTTTTCAACTAGCACCAGCGGGTTCCAAACTTTCTGCTTTCCAGATCTCCTGCAGAGGATGGTGGGGTGGCTTTGGAGTGCACGGTGAGTTTCTCTGAGGCAATTGTTATTCTTGAGACTTTGTGTCAGTGTGCCCGAGAGCACCGCAAATAGTCCCTTGTCGCTGTGCATTGCAAAAAAAGATTGGTTAGGGTTCACAGTCTTTCAGGGAGGCTTGTCTGCTGACATGGAAGATAAGTTTCCAAGGAACTTTAGGGCTTTTTACAGTCCTATTAGAAATACTCAGCACTAGTGCATGGGTGAATCCTGGGCCGATTTCCTTAACACCTCTAGGCCATGTCCAAACAGGCAGCTTTTGATGCAGTCCTTGACTTGTCGCAACGCACAGTGGAGGTGCCATCTGCATGGCATCCTGACACCCTTTGTTCCTGAATAGGCCTCTTCTCTGGGGGATTTCTTATGGGAGAGTTTATATAAAAATTATATGGCAAGGTGCATATTTCACTGTGAATGGGCCTGAATGAAAATCAATCTTTCTGCTTCTCTCTCCCTCCCCACCCCCCATCCCAGTCCTTCCCTCATTCTGAGCCTTTGCAGTGGGGGAAGGAGGGATTGGGATTGTGTGATTTTGTCCCGTTTTATCTTCAATGCCTTGAAAGGTATTTATTGACTTATTTAATTGCTTCATATACTCACCACTTTTCTCCCCCAATGGGGACCCAGAGTGGCTTACAACATTCTCCACTTCTCCATTTTGTCCTCACAACAACCCCATCAGGTAGATCAGGCTGAGAGTATATGGCTGGTCTAAGAATGCCCATTGAGCATCTATGGCAGAGTGGGGATTTGCTATACTTTTAGATGTGCAGCACCTAATTCTCTAATGGGGATGTCTGTGTGCAGTTGTGCAGATTTGTGCGGTATTTGTTACCGGTGCAGTCATCGTTAGCCTGGCATTCTTATGTTTTGCTTTGCTCTGTATTGTTATTGACAAACTATAGCTTGCGGTACACCAGGAAGATGTAGTTAATGTTATTGTATGAAGACCAAGATTATGACAGCAGTAATCTTTATTTTAAGATAGTCAAGGATTGAGACCTCTGGCCACCACAGTAGTTCATGTTCCTTACTGAGAATGGAGCAAAGTTTTCTCAAGGATTTCAGCAGTGCTATTCTTGAAAGGACTAAAATGCATCACCCGAAAGAAAGTCTTCAGATCTGTAGCATGTGGACTCCCATCAGCTCCCTCTCTCTGCTCTCCCCATCTAGTTTCCTTCTTAGTACTGGGGATATAGCTTGCCATCTAGGAGTCTGCAAAATAACCATCTACGTAGTTGATAAAAAAAAGACTCAATCTGTGCCTCAGATCTGTTTGACTCTAGTAAAAGCAGAGAAATGTGATAATGGGCAAAGATTTCAGCTTGCAGAAAATCATAATTCTCATTTAATAATTAAAACGTTTCTTGTTCTCATGACTGCGAAGATATGCCTAAAAATGCATGGGCAAACTCATGCTGAAACCTCAGAGAAGTCAGAGATGTGGTTGAAAAAGATTATACATGTTGCGGGGAAGAACTTCAGGACTCCATGTCCTTCCCCCTTCTAGAAAGATCACCATAAAACTTGCAAGATAAAAATATTCAAATCAGTCTGGTTTGCATAATCAGACTGGATTGCAGAATCCAGATTTTCATGGTGCAGAATTTTAAGTTGCCTATAGGCAAAATTTCTGAAAAAAGTGTTTGCTTTAACTAGTATATGCTGCTGTACGTAGAATGACAGGGCTGCCAGGCACTTTGGATCCGTATCTGAAGTACAGGTATTACAAAAGCTAATTGGTGGGAGTTTTGACTGCTTGCTTTTTTTTTTTAATTTCAAAGGCAATTCAGCAACAGAGCTCATCAGAGACTGAGGGTGAAGGGGGGAATACAGCAGATGCCAGCAGTGAAGAGGAAGGGGATCGGGTAGAAGAGGATGGGAAAGGCAAACGGAAGAACGAAAAAGCGGGCTCAAAACGGAAAAAATCCTACACTTCAAAGGTAATTCATCTCTCTTATTGAAAACAGAAACAAAATCCTTAAACTTCCAGCTGAAATGGGAAAGTGGTACTAAAGGAGATGCCACAAGGGAAGGCTTGAATTTAGAGAAAAGTGGCTAGAAATGTGTCTGATGTTAACCAAAAGGGTTCATTAAAAACAGCACAAAACACAAGCTTGTATTCAGATGCTACCTTGGTTTGTGACAAGCATGACCACAGATTTGTGCTGTGCTTGCCTGTTCCCTCCCCTGTTCCTCCTTCCCACATGCGCAGAACACAGTTAAAGGCTTCCTAATTTAGGAAACCTTCAGTCACATTCCAATTCACTATAAAGTTAAAATGGCATCCCCAGCAACAGACATGTTATATATTATATGCACACTTTTCAGTTCCAGGGAGGTGAAATACCAATGAAACTGTGGCAGCACAGAAGAAACCTTTGCCTGTTTTGTAATATGGCTTGTGCACATGGCTTGTGCATATTGGAGCTTGTTACTTCCTCAGGATTTGTAAACTGGGCTTGAACCTTGTATTAGAGTTCTGGGTTGGAGGGATTAGAAATTGAACTCCAGTTTGCCTTGGCACTTGCATTTGAATGTGCAAATGAAGTACTGAAATCCAGGAAGGTATAACAAAAAAGTGTACAAAAGGAGAAAAAACATGACACAGATGGATTGCCAACCAAATGCCATTCTGAATTAATCTTCCTCAGGATGTTCCTGTATAGTCCTGTTTGTTCAGACCACTTGTAATTGTAAAGGCAAGAAGTCAAAAAAAGTCTCTCGCCTGTGTTATGTAGGATGCAAAAGAACAATCCATCTGGGTCATTTCCCCCCTATTTTTGTACACTTTGCTGATATACCATACATTTTTACTGTCAATTGTTCCTGTGTACTTATACATTGGTTATTTATGTGTTGAACACTGTTTGTGCAAATTTGGTACCATAACACTGTTTATAATGTGCCTGTCACATTCTTTCAGATTGTTGATTCAGTTGTTTCATTTGTAGTTTATTATACACCTCTATTTTTGTTATACCTTCCTGCCCTTTTGTATTTTGTTTCTGCATTCTTCACGGGTGTTCCTTTTGTGTTTTACTTGCATTTGGATATCATGGCAAACTGGACTTGGAAGGTTTCCAAAATGAGGACAGTTTTAATCACACTCTACAAAGTAAGGTTGCACACAAGTGTTGCTGCGTTTGTGCCGATCACAGATTTGTTGTAACATCTGAATGTGGTCATGTTTTCACAGATATTTCACATACCTGGGATTGAAGGGTATGCATACAGAACATACAACATGTCGTTTATTGGAGATGTCATTTGCCAAATGCTGATTTGCTGTGTATAGTCTGCATTCTTGAAAAACCTTGGGAAGCAGATATTTATTTATTCATTCAGAATGTTTATCTTCCCCTATCTTTCTCCTGATACAGTTCGGAGATTTTGGCAATGGGTTGCCGTAAGTTGGCTGTGACTTGACAGCCCTTCCCACCACCAACCACAGAAGAGGTCTTTGGGGCTGTTTGAGATAAATGGTTTTTAGAAGGGGATCTCAAAGTAACAAATTAGTTGTTAACCTCAGCAAAAAAATATTTTTATTTAAAACCACCAACCATAAAATTGCGAAAATACTGGTCGAGATTAGTTCAGACCATGGTGTTACTAAGATGTACTACAAGAGTGTAAAAATATATGCAACAGAGTAATTTTGTCAAAAAATTGATTTCATTTATATTACATTGGAATAGGTCAGTCCTTCTAATAACAGCCTAGATAGCCCAGGCTAGCCCAGTGGATCCCATCTCCTGGATGGGAGAATCTGAGTCAGCTGGAAATTTCCCCTGCAAACACCCCCCCCCAAAAAAAAACCGCCTTGTTTTCTAGGTAACACTTACCAGATTTTTATCCTGCCCTTCCTCCATAGCTCAAAGAGACACACAGGGGCTTTCTCCTCCCTGGTTTTATGCTCACAGTAACTTTGTGAGGCAGGGTAGTGTGAGATAGAATGACTGTCTCCAGGTCATCCACTGAAGTTCCATGGCAACCCTGGGGAACTGAACCTGGCTCTGCCTGGTCTTGGTCCAGCATTCTAACAGCTATGCCATAATGGCTGCTAAACTGTGTGCTCAGTTTTCTCTTTTGTAATGGAAAACTGAATTAAAAAATAAAGATATTTCAGAGAGTATCAGTGCAGAGCAGGGAAACACAGGGAAGGTTGCTTAAACATTTCTCATTTACAGTTCCAGTCACCCTCATTAGGGTCATTTGATTCCAATTGGAGAAAAGGCGACGGGGTGGGGGAGGGGGTGGAATGGAATGGAATGGAATGGCAGTTCTTTATGCATATCCAGCACCTTTTTGTTGGTTGAAGAGGCACCATCTGTTTGTTGATGAACAAAAGTGACCCAGCACTGAAAGCCCTTCTCCTGTGACCATCTGAAGAACTGCCATTTGGCTGTATACCTGTTCCAGCTACTGATTCTTGCTTCTGGCTTCACCTCATGCTGTGATTGTAAATATTTTATTTCTGAAATTAATATGTCCCGCCTTTCCCTGGTGAAAGAAATCACCTGGAAAGAGAAAAGAAGAAGCAGACAAGATCCACTGAATACTCCCTCAGTCCTCCAAGAAAGCACTACCAGGACATGTCCAGACCAACCGTCTGCTCCTTGTAATCACACAAGGGGTGGTGACGGTGCAGGCCACAACCTTTCCCCTGGATGGAGACCACCAGGCATCAGCAGCACAGGGAGAGGTTATGTAAAAATGGCCCTCCATTTTCATCACAGTGGCCAGATCTTGCTGTCTGTGTTTCCTCTGAGAATTGTCTTCTGTCATACCATTCTTAAATTTGCTCTGATTCTCGCACTGAACTGTTCTGTGCAGTGGTAGTTTTGTTAGCTGCCCTGAACATGCCCATTGAAAGCCAGGATGTAAATCTAATAAGTAAATAAATAAGATTAGTGATATCAGGGATGTGTCTGGTTGCACCCCAGAGATTCTGCCTCTACCTTTCAGTCCAGCCGTTGTTGCCCTGGTCCTTGCATCCACACCCGCCCCCCACAAACCCCTCTTCTGCATGCTCTAGCTGGTAATGGAGGGGCTGGTGACTGAACCAGCTGGAAGAGGGAGGAGGAGAAACTGCAGCTGCCTTGCCTCCAGAACCTCTGGCAGATTGAAAGGTACAGAGGGAAACCTTCAGGTGGCAGTCTGGCAATCCTTTTTTTAAAAAAATTATTTTATACATACACAGAACAAATAACAACAACATAACCAACTAACAACACCATCTGTAGCCTCATATTCAGTATTGAATAATACCATCATTACAGTCAGTCAGTCAGTCAGTCAACCTTTATTGGCATAGATAAAATACAGCATGGATTACATTTTAAAATGCATATCAAATTTTGTAAATATAAACAATCCACTAGGTCTTTGACCTTATATTCTCTTACCCTCATAGCAATAGAAAGAAATCGTGCTACTGAGAAAGTAATGTGAGGGCAGAGATCTGATAAAAGGAAAGATACAAGTCTCTCTTCAGATAGACTGTGTTTATTGTGCAGGAGGGGGCTGATTAGAACATCCCAAATCCTATTATAAAATTCATAGCTGAGCAAGATGTCAGTAATCGATTCTGGGTTCCTGCTGTTACATGGGCAGGTCTTCCCTCATTACAGTAATGTTGCAACAAAAGGAATTTAAAAACACAGTCTGGCAATCCTGTCCATTGTTCTTATTTCGTGTTGCTGTCTTCTTTCATGTCCCTATTCTTCTTCTGGGCCATTGCCATGTCCTCCATTAGTAGTGTGTTTTCTTTCTTTAAACTTTGCATTGGGTGTCTAGGTGCCATTCAGCAGACCCCAGGCTTATTGGGGTTGGGGGGGGGGGACCTGGCTGCTTGATGGCCTGTTTGCCATCATGTTCTACATAGGGAGAGTCTTTGAATGACTGCCCAAACAAGTGTCTGTCCATCAGTGGGGGTGCAGTAGTGCAAACTTAGTCTTATCTTAGAAAATGCAGACTGTGTTTCTGGGAAGAGGAAGCAGGTTTAAAGGCGTGGAGATTACTGCCAGCCCTAGGACAATGAGGGGCAACAATGAAATCAAATTAAATGCAACATAGATCTGCCATCAAAATGTTAATTTTCCTCCCATCCCTTAAAACGTTTCTTTTAATTTGCTTTTCCCCATTGGATGTACATAGAAATCTTCCAAGCAGTCACGGAAATCTCCCGGTGATGAAGATGACAAGGACTGCAAAGAGGAAGAAAATAAGAGCAGCTCGGATGCTGGGGAGGCAGGCAACGACACAAGAAACACCTCTTCAGACTTGCAGAAAACTAGTGAAGGGGTAAGGCTGGCTTGAACCTGCGGAGGTTGAATCACTGGGGTAGCATCACTGTTCCAGCACTACGTGTGAAAACCCTCATGCTTTGGGCTGCGCTCACTAGCATTTGGGGCCAATTCTGAACTCAGGCCCTCCGTACATTTTCTCTCTATGGCTATTTAAATTTGGATTATTTTTAGTGCTGTATTTAATAAGCGGGGCTTGGAGATCTGGTTAAACTTTCTAACTCATTTATATCTCTCTTCCCCCCCCCCCCATACACACATACCTTTCCTCTAAGGAGCTTAGGGCGGCATACATAGGAGTCCCTGCCCTTATTGTACCCTCACAGACACCTTTGTGGCAAGCTAGGCTGAGGAATAGTGACTGGCCTGCTGTCCCCCTGGTGAACTTTGTGGCTGAGCGGGAGTTCAGGCCCAGATCTGTAACCTTGACACCACACTGGAATTTTAGGTGTTCAGGGAAATACTTGGTCAGTCCTGCTGCTGTTGCTATCCTGCTACCTTAAAAGGAGCAAACGTTTCTGATAGGTTAGGGAGTGACGAGACATTACTAAAGGCCCCAGGAGAGTTCCTCTTGGTCCTTGGCACTGAAATAAAGTTGCTGTTGCCTCCCAGGTTATGCAGAACATGTGCTCTTTCTCCCTTCTTTTACTGCTTTTTGATAAGGATACAGTTGACAAGAGGAACGCTGCAACCATTTGGCCTGTGCTATACACCCAAAGTCATTCAGAGTCTTCCCTCCCCTGCATGGATACCCTGTTTTATGATTTTAGCTTATTTTTGACTCAACAGGTCAGACGCATGATATGAAACCTTGCATAAATCCTTTGTCATCTCATACACAAGCCAGATAAAGAGCTGGGCCTTATGAGTCTTGAAGATGCAGGATATGAGATTGTTCCAGTCTCAGGTTCTCTTAGTGTGTTTGCAACTAACTGGGTCTGAATGCCATGAAATTGAATTCAAGATCACATAGCCCTCTGCAGAACCATCTCTCCCCCCCACACACACACACACCTTTGACCAGCACACCATATTGTTCCTTTCCATCATTCAAAGTGTTCCAGGCCTCTGCATTGTTTGGAATCTACCATAGTTCAGGGTTCTTCATGGACCTGCTGTACACCCTTGTCACACTAAATACACAGGAATAGGAGGTGAAAAATACCCAAGAGGAATTCTGCCATGAATTCCGCTTACCTAGAGAAGAGACTAACAATGCCTGCACCAAACCCATCTGGCTCATCAGATTCTCTTGGCCCTGTTTGTGCCGTCATACTGCTGCACTGAACCTTGCATGAGATTTCCACTCACCACGCCAAGCAGTACTGCATCATGGGATGTGCAGTCTTCAGTTTCTGCATATATGATTAGTGTAGTTTCCACGCATGTGGCCCAGGTTGTGTAGAAGAAGAAGGTTGCGTAGTCTAAACAGTAAGTGCTGTCAGCCTCAGTGAGACAGAAGTTCTTTGTTAAAGGAAAAAAAGAAAACAGGATTTGAGTGTTTGCTTTTATTAACCACATGGTGGCACCATAACTATAACATTGGGCTCTGTATGCAGTGCTTATTTAGCCAGAACCCAGGTAACACCATGTACAGTCAATAAGGCAACATTTTACAAACAATTGAGGCCCCTGCCACATGGCAGGGGAAAAGCCGCGCCAACGTTGAGACGCCACAGCGAGATCCCACGGATCCCCTGGCCGTGGCGACTTTTCTCCCCGGCGCGATCAAACGCCGGGGAGAAAACACGGCCCTAACCGGGAGCCGGCTGAACTGCGCATGTCGGAGCATGCGCAGTTCAGCTCCGGGCTGGGGTTGTGCCGGCACAAGGACGCGCCGGCGATCAAACGCCCGGCTAGCAGCGCGGCTTCCAGTTGAACCACCAAGGTAGGTGGTTTCAACTTGAGGCGGATTTGTGCGGGGAAGGGCCAGTTCGGGGACGGAAGCAAGACGCTTCCCAGATGTTTTAGTGTGATCGCGCCGGTTTGATCTGCCCCCGAACTGTCCCGCTCCCAGCCCAAATCGCCTAGTGTGAACGGGACCTGAAACTCTTATTCCCCTAAGACTGAACACGGTGTTATCTTGGTTTCTGCTGATTTTTTACACTTGTGTTTCCCATTGTTTTTCTAATATAATTGCTTATTTAGCCAGCAAACTTCAAAGTCAAGCTAGAATTAGATGAACACATGAAGCTCCCTTATACTGAATCAGAGCGTTAGTCCATCAAGGTTAGTAATGTCCGCTCAGGCTGTCAGCAGATCTCCAGAGTCCCAAGTGGAGGTCTTTCACATCATGTGATCCTTTTCACTTGAGATGCCAAGGACTGAATCTGGGACCTTGCATGCCAAGCAGATGCTCTGCCATGAAGCCGCAGCTTCTCACTCTTTGCATAGGACACAAAAGGTATTTAAAAGAGCCGGCTCACTTGACAGCAGTTAGTACTGCTTTCATGGCATAGAATTTAAAAAAATATTTAGCAAGATTTATACCCTGCCTTTCTGTTCTCATAAGGATCAGCAAGGTGGCTAACAAATTAAAAATATATATAATAAATCACATCTTAGGAACAAACAAAAACACATAATTTAAACCAGAGCTGAAATACATAAAAAACGTAAAAATGGCAGTGAAAACATTGGATAGGAATGAGGGATCACTGATTGAACACCAAAAGCAACAAGTCTTCACCTGCTGATGGAAGAGGGCAACAGAATGGCACAGATGAGTTTCCCTGGGGACAGAGTTCCAGAGTTCTAATGCCACAACCAAGAAGGCCCTCTACTAGGTTTCCATCCTCCTAATCTCAAAAGGTGGGAGCACTGCAGTGGTTGGGTAGGTTCCTAAGGGAGTAGGAGGTACTTCCGATATGTTGGCTCCAAAGCATATAGCGTTTTGAAGGTCGACATCAGGACCTTGAATTGTGCTCTGAAACAAACTGGGAGCCTATTTAGGTGAGCTAAGACTAGAGTGAAATGATCCCTCTTACCCACTCCAGTCAACATCCTGGCTTCAGCTTTCTTTGCCAGCTGAAGTTTCCAAACACTTTTCAAGGGCAGTCCCATGTAGATCACATTCCAGTAATCTAACCTAGATGTAACCAGGGCACACAACCATGGTCCAGGAGAGGCTGCAGCTCGCTAAGCAGTCAAAGTTGGTAAAAGGCACCCTTGGAACACAGCTGCCACCTGTTTATCAAGCAGTAGGCCTGGGTCAAAGAGCACAGTTGACAAGAGGAACGCTGCAACTATGGACCTGTTCAAGGGGAGTGCAACCCCCAGACTATGGACCTGTTCAAGGGGAGTGCAACCCCAGTCCAGAATGGGTTACACTTTAAATCCCAGGGATTAAGTTTCAGTTGGGATTCAGTTTCAGTTTATTATCCTGCATCTACTCCAAAACTGCCTCCAGGGGCGAGTTCAGGGTTTCTGCAGCCTCCCTGGGATCAGCTGGAAGCATGATCTGAGCCTCATCCACATATTGGTGGCAACCCACCTCAGGTCTCCAGAAGACCTCAGCCAGCAAATACATGTAGATGTTAAAAGAGCATAGAGGACAAGATGGAGCCATGTGGGTTCTCACAGGCTGCAGCTGGAATTGCACATCCCTGTTCATCACTTATACTGCAAAAGTAGCTACATTGGCTGCCTGGCTTCTCAACATTATAACATGGCTCACTTTTGTATGTTGCTTCCATTGCAGAAAAGGAATCCATGCATGGAAGCTGCTTCTGTGCCTGGATCCCCTTTGCTGGACTGTGGCAGATGGGTTACAATATTTGCTGAGTAATATGTTCTGTACTGAGTCATTGTAATGTTCATCCACTTTGGCTGGGTTGCACCTGAAGCTGTGATGCCCTGTTGATTTCTGCAGGAATATTAAGCATGCATTTAAATCTGTTCCCTGGAAATCAATGAGGTTTCAGTATGCTGAGGCTGCTGGATCACGCCCAGGTGTTCATTTGATGGCTGGTGCAAACTCAACTGTGTCATGTAACTCTTTTCAAAAGTTGCTTCATATTTTTTTCCTTTCCCCCCCAGACTTAACCAACATATTGACTGCTGCATATTAAGGGAAGACACAAGATGATTACATGTTTGGTTGTCTAATATTCTTGGATTTGGTAGAAGTCAGCACATCTGTTCATCAGCAGCATCTCTGTTTGTTTGCACATTTATCCACATTCCTACCCATCCTGTTTGCAGAAAGCAACTTTCAACTTCATTGTTACCCACCCACCCCCACAGAGAGGGACCCCTTTTATGAACTTCATTTTATTTAATCACGTAAAGATGCCCTTTTCCAGCCCAGAAAACATGATGGGCAGCAACATTGCCAACGTGCCCACATTTAGATGCCTTTTGCAACAAGAGGGGGCCATGACTTCAAACTTCAGCCATTGCATCTGACCAAGCGGAGTCTGGCTTACGGAAAGCTTATGCCACAATAAATTCGTTAGTCTTTAAGATGCCACAAGACTCTTTGTTGTTTTGGCTCCAAATTTTAAATCATTCTTGCTACTTGTCTGCTTTTATTCAAAAAGAAAATATATATATAACGCACTTGGAAATAAGTACCCTCTCATAAAGAACCTCAAGAATTCAGTCAACTTACAAACCATGTTTTTTTACAATTATTCTTTGTGTATTTTTTTAATGGTGTAAAGGCCAACGGGCTGCCCAACAGCGTGGATCCAGCACCCGAAGCTATTTTGTGTGACCCTTCCAAATAGCAGTCAACAACACATGGTAAAAGAAAACAAAACACAACACAATGGCTTGCCCTGCAGTTTCATTTTTAGGGAAATTGGGGGGGAAATCAAGTTGTAAGAAGCGGAGATACACCCTCATCTCCCTTTTGGATTTTGTATGCCACATGTAAATGTACATATTTGTATGTAATGCTATGCCTGAGATTGAGCTCTGTGAAGCTGTTAATACAAAATAACACTATGATGGCACCCACCCATTCATGAGAGGGTCAAGTTTATGCGCAGTGGAATATTCTTTCTCTCTCCCCTCTCTGTTTGGAGGTTAAATTGCTCTCCTGTTTCCACCTAAGAATACAAAATATGGCCATCTCCGATTGACGATCTGATAACATCTACTCAAGTTGCAATCCCTGCTCAAAACTCAACAATGTAAGAAAATACTTTTCCTTATTAGAAATACCTAGCTAGCTATACTCTTTAATACTTCTCAAAATCATGATGTAGCGTAAGTTCTCTGACTTAGTTCCTATATGTGGAGTTAGTGAAAGTCTTTTGTGTTTCTTTAGATAAAAACAAGGAATTTTTTTCAACACCAACACAATTTGAGCTTGACACAGGATTTTTTTGTTTGTTTGTTTGTTGGGATGCCTTCAGGGTTTTTTTTTTATCATACTGTGATGCGGAAGCCCTATGGAAAATCAAACCAAAACACCCACTTTTTGTTTTTTTGTTAAAGAAAAGTTTAGTAAAGAAAAAAAAGATTCTGCCATAATCTTTTCTGATTTTTCTCCCCCTTCTTCCAAAACTAGATCTAGACTAGTAAGTAAGCATTCCAAACTCCATTATTCTGTGTACATTATTGTTGCTATTGTGAGAATAGAGAATTTTATTTATTTTTTAATGCCAGCTTTTATTGTGAAAACATGGGTTTAGTCCGGTTTTATCAATCCTTGTTATGCTTGTCCTTGGACCATCTTTTGCGTACTCAAGGTTTGTAGTTGAAAAGTTTACTGTACAAAAACAAAAAAAAACAAAAAACAAAAAAAAACAAAAAAAGTATTGTTTTTACAGAATAAATTTATTGGAATGTGTATCGGGAGTAAGGTTTGAGGTTGTAAGCAGCTAAGTTAGCGTCGTATTTGGCTTCATACGTGTAACAATGTGAGGTATTCATGTAACTTGAGTATTAAAGCAAAGCGTTCTGTTAACACTGAGTTGGCTATAATAGAACACAAATTTAGGGGAGATCTTTTTCTTTCCATCCTGTTGCTCTACTTATTTGTGACACTCTGGCAGTCGCTCCAAGAACAATCTACTGCAAATGATTGCACTGTTACATACATACTGAGTTTGCCTTCTTATCCTTCACCTTGTCTGTTCTGACTGTAGCAGGCCTCCAGGGATTGAACATGAAACTGTCTGCATTCAAAGTACACGCTCTACCACTGAACCATGGCCCTGTGGAGGACCTACCCCAGCCATGGCAGACTACACTTAAAATTTGTTCCACGGGTCCTCAACCTTGTTGAGCTTCTGAATGCTTTTGGGATTTTTTTGGAGGGGAAGGGTAGGGGGCACCGTCACAAAGTGGGTGCCATGGGAGGTACAACCAATCACAACATGTCTACCATGGAGGCAATTATGAAATGTTGGGTGGTTCCAAATCAAGCATCTTCCTATGATAAGGGCAGTTATTTCTGAATGGGTGCTCCATACAAACCCAAAGATGATGTCTCCTGGGCTCCTCTGAAGCACTCCTATTCCAGTAAGGTAGAGAAAAGCCAGGACTGACTCAGCTTTGGGGGAGAAGTATTTGGGGGGAGACGTATGTGGGCATCATGGCACCCAAGGGCACTGCACTGGACATCAGTAGATTATTCTGATGTGCAGCTTGATACATTTTGTTCAGGGTCAGTCAATTTGTGCACTGTGAAGTATGTTTCAATGTAGTTGGACATATGGCACTTCTTACAAAGAAATAGGTGAGAAAAAGATAAACAATAGAAAATGATGAATTCCTGTTTCTGTCTTAATAACCTTCTATATTAGGTATTTATTGTGGCATTATTGAACTATTCAAAGACATTTATTGACTCATATTGTACGCTAGTACTCCGTTCAGCAAAATTTGAAGCTTTCCTCTGACTAGTAGGGAGAGTCTCAGTATTCAAATATAGGTTAGGGAAGGGAGGAGATCTCATCCCCAAGTAAATGGGGAAGGGGGTGTCTCATTGCTCTGCCATTTTTTTTGAGGCAACTCAATTATTTTATTTATCTTTCTCTGTCTTTCTCCCTCGTTTCCCCAGCCTTCCTGTCTTTCTCTGCCTTTCAGCCTGTCCTTTCATTCTCATTTTCTGTTCCCTATTTCTTGTTCTCTTTCCATTGGGGGGGGGGGAGAGAAGGCAACACACTAGCCACTTGTGCTGAAGGAGAATAGGTTAGACTCGAACCCTGATCACACTCTTTAGCATTAGACTAAAAGTGGGTTTGACAGGGCCCTGCAATCTTGCAATGCACTTTGTCCAGTCATGTAAATGGGTAAGACCTGTTGAAAGTGCCTGCAGATGCTACCTTCCAGTGCCCTGGAGATAGTCACACAAGTAGTCTCTATTTAGTCACCTCTACCTCACATAATAAGCCTGGATTCTCCAGTTTAGTTGTGATTCCAGCCTGTTGTAGGCTGAGGAGCATGGTTACACGAGAGAAAAGAACTTGCCCCTCAGATGTAACTTTACATCACTGATGAGGATGGTGGTCTTGCATGGTCATCTAAACCAGGGGTGTCCAGCCCACAAAGGGCTCAAAATCAGCCCCCAAGCAGCTTCCTTCTGCTTCCTTTCCCAGGGCTGCTGCTGCAGCCACATCCTAGCTTGCTTTCCCCCCAGCTCTCTCAGTGGCTCTTTGCTTCCTGTTTCCTGCCTCTAGCCTCCCACACCCCGCAGAGCCTCATGTCTGCTTTGTGCCAGAGAGAGACAGACCTGCCTGCCCCTCCCTCCCTCCCTCCCTTTCTTCTCCGGGGCTGCTGCTCCTCTTTTGGAGGGGAAGGGAGGAGGAAGAAAGAGAGAGAGAGAACAAAACTGAAGGCCCAGCTTTAAAACCAACAGTGTTTTATTCCAGGTATAAGCTTTTGTGTGCAAGCACACTTCTTTGGTGGGAGGGAGGGTGAGTGGGTGGCTAGATGGATTCATTCGTCGGACAAGCACAATGTACATTGAGGAAATTATTTTGGCTTATTCTGCAAAATCGTGTTTGTTTGTTTTTTAATGATTGAATTTCTCTATTCCTATTTGGATTTATTTAATTTCAAAAAGACCCTGAGTAGGAATTAGAACACTTGGATTGGTCCTTATATCTTGGAGAGTGGAGTGACTTCAGATGCCAAATGATAATAGCACACCTGGGTAATGAGACAGGAAAATTACCTCTCAATTCATTCCAAGAGGATGCATTGTCTTGAGCTTCATTATCAGTTGCAATTCAGTTGTCCCTCTAATCTCCCCTTGAAATTCCTTTGTAAGAGCACTGCTACGCTTTGGTCAGTAACTGAATGTTGTGGTTTCTAATGTCAGACTTATGTCCATCCTCCTGGACTGAATCCTCCTGGATGGAATTGAGACCTAGGTTCCCTGTCTCATTACTAATGCTGATATCTCCATGCCTGCTTTCCCTCTGCATATCACACCTAATCCAATCATGCCTACTATTGCCATTCAGCATCTGAAATAATCTTTATAAAGTTTATATCTCTGGTACCTCGTGTTATGTTTTATAGCACACGTGGCACAGCCCAACGAAGTGACATTTATGTCAGAACCAGCTCTCATAACGAATGACTTCAACACCTCTGATCTAAACATTCTAAAAACACCACACATGAATGCAACATGGTTATGTGTTTCTACACAAAGTTTTCCTATCGTGTTTGCTGTTCCTAATCGAGCCTCCCTAGTTGTTTAGCTGAACATCTAAGAACCCAGCACAACCTAGAACTGTACTCTTGAATGCCCTCTGTGTTAAATGTTCACTGGTATGATTTTGTGGCAGTCCTGCTGTATGGTCTTAACAGCCATTTAACAAAATTGCTGCCATCCTCACTTTTTTGGACATATACTTCCTTAGAAGAATTTATACAAATGAAGGTAATGTTATCTTGAAGCACTAGCTTTCTGTTTTTAGGGAACGCTTTCTGCATTAAGACCCAAGCTAGGAAAAATGGGATATCCCCCATGTAAGGTTAGTACAAATGGAGAGCTAACTTGGATGGTGGCAAGGTGTCACGACAGGGGGGAGAGGTATGGTGCTGGGAGAGGGGAAAATCCAAGATTTTCTATGTCTTGTAAGGCAGAAAGGTACCCTCTCAATACAGTGAAATAGCTCACCTCTGATGTCTTTCTTTCTTGAATCCCACCACCCATACCTACTAGTTATTCCTGTGTTGTGCCTGCATGTCCCCCATGGCAAATAGAAATCAGAAAAGTGTTGGGGTGGGATGTCTCAAACACCCTCTTTCTGCTCCACAGCCCTGCCTCTTCACCACAACAGCTCTGCTCATGTTGGCAGGGCTCTGCAGGTGCCAAACTGCAAATGGGCAAAATCTACAGCTACCCGTACACATGTGCTTTCTCTGTTGTGGCTCCCAACTTGTGGAACAGCCTGCCCGATGAGCTTAGGAAGGCTCCCCCTCTCCTGGCCTTCCACAAACTACGCAAAACTGAACTATTCAAGAGGGCTTTTCTGCCGAGGTAATAAGGCTGCACGGTACAAAATGGTTTCACAGACCTGCTTGGACAAATGATATGGACTTGCGGTCTTTTCTGCCATGTATAGCATATTGTAAACAGGATCCTATTATGTAATTTCTGCACTGCTTAACAGTTATGCTGCGGTGGCTCAAGTGGTTAATATGCTGAACTACAGGCTGTGGAAGGTCAGTAGTTCAGCAGTTCAAGACCCGAGTTGCCACATGACAGAGTGAGCTCCCGTCTCTAGTTCCAGCTCCTGCCAACCTAGCAGTTCGAAAGCAAGAAATTGCAAGTAGATAAATAGGTACCACTTCGGTGGGAAGGTAACAGCGTTCCGTGCGCCTTGGTGTTTAGTCATGCCAGCCACATGACCACGGAAATGTCTTCGGACAGCACTGGCTCTTCGGCTTTGAAATGGAGATGAGCACCGCAACCCAAGAGTCAGACTCGACTGGATTTCGAGCAAGGGAACCTTTACCTAACAGTTATGCTATGCTCCTGTTCTTTCTGGTGGTTTCCAATCTTCTAATATCCTAATGCATTACTTATTGAATATCCCATTTTGTTGATTATATTGACTCATCTGCCTTGAGTCCATGTGAGAAAGGCATACTATAAATAATGTGAATGAATGAATGAATGAAAAAGACAATGAAAGGGAACAATGGGAAATGATGAGAAAGTAGAAGACTGCAGAAAAGGTGTGTCTTTAGGCCCTGCCAGGAAAACACAACAGTACTGCCATACTGTCTTGACAGAGGACGAAAGTGTACATTTTGCCTGATGTAGGGCTGTTAAAGATGGGATCCCTGTGCAAACTTCTCTTCAGCAGTGTGTGTAGGATTTTCCCATCAGTGTTGTAAGATCATCACATCAAGCATTTGGAGCCAGAAGCAGCCAGTGACATGGAGCAGAGCAAGGAAACGCACATTAGGAGACTGTGACATGGGGTGAGTAATCCAACATGTTCCAGACGAGAAGAAGAATAGAGAAGAGGAGACTGGATTTATACCCCGCCCTTCACTACCCGAATAAGTCTTAGAGCGGCTTACAAACTCCTTTCCCTTCCCCTCCCCACAACAGACACCCTGTGAGGTAGGTGGGGCTGAGAGAGCTCTGACAGAAACTGCTCTTTTTCAAGAACAGCTCTTATCAGAGCTACGGCTTGCCCAAGGTCATCCAGCAGGTGCAAGTGGAGAAGTGGGGAATCAAACCCGGTTCTCCCAGATTAGTCTGCACACTTAACCACGACACCAAACTGGCTACACTACGCCAAGGGCACTCAACACAGGGATGCCATTTTCAGTATCAGGCCATATTGGATATAACATGGTTAGTTACAGTGAATCGATCACAATACAGTTGCCACAGTGAAATATGGAGCAACAAGACACTGATTTCTCAGAGTGCTCTTCTTACATGAGAAAGCACATAGGCTCTGAGCTGGTTTGTAAACCACAAATTTGT